TATATATATATATATTTCTAAAATACATATTTCAGTTTTAAATATATTTCCAGAAAATATCTTAAAAACTTCAGTTTTCAGTTTTCAGTTTTTAGAATAGATATTTCCTTCTAGGCTTCTTCGGTTTTGCTTAACACTGGGTCGGTTTCGATTTCCATCTCAGGTAACTTGACCAGGTCGGGTCGGTTGGGAAAACCCCAGTAAACCGACCCAATCCGACCCGTGAACAACCCTAAATCATAGATTGGTTTCTGAATACGAAGGTTATGTTTCCTTGGAATTTGTTTTTGGATAAGTCCAGAAATCGTAATAGATGGCATGTTGCCCCAACATGGAGGTTAGATTTGTTCATGGGCTGGGTGGCCCGATGGGCCGGGTTATAGGCCCGTAGGCTTAAACTCGAGCAAAAAATCCCGGCCTGCAATAAATTCGAGTCGGGCTCGAGTTTTGTCAAAATAGCCTGACCCGACCTAAAATTAGACTTAAAAAGGGTTATGTGATTATGTCCATTTGAATAAATTTTTTTATTTAAGAAACTAAAAGTGTGTTTTAAAACATAAAAGAAAGGGAAAAAACCATCTTGTAGGCCCATTGTTCATTTAAATAGGAAAAAAACAAAACCTTCTGAATTTTTAATTCTAATTTGAATAGGGAAAATTGTAATTTTTTTTTATTAGGTCGGGCCTCGGGCTCAGGCTCGGGCTTGGGCTTTGGGCTTTTTATCAGAGCTGGGCTCGGACCCAAGTTATAGGCCCATTGGTCAGACCGGGCTCAGGCTCGGGCCTAACATATTTCCATTAATGATGAGTAAAAGTCCGGTCCGAGCCCGGCCCGAGCCTGGCCTGGCCCGGCCCATGAACAAGTCTAATGGAGAATATCCAAACGCTTTAATTTCTGAAGTTGGCATATTGCTCCAAACAAATTTCAACAGATAATCAATTTCATTATACATCCGAGAGGATTAAATACTAATTTAAATTGAAGTACAGTGAATTCTGTTTACTTTGTTTTTGGTAAAGGAATGCTGTTTAGTTGGTCACTCCAAATAGAGAGGAGAGCTGATGCAGATGCTTCAGACCATTTCTCTGCCGGGTTTTACTATCAATTCAATGGACTTTTGGATGTTCATTCAGCCTAGAACTCGTTTAGTATTTTCTTGGCTGACTTAACAACACAAATAGCTTATGGGCTTAACTGTGTTACCTGTTGATAAAATAGTTTTTACCAAGAAAAAAAAAGCCCAAATTCTATCTTACAAACTTCCAGCTTAATTAAGGGCAATGGGCCAATAATTAATATATTTCAATAAAGTAGAAAAATTATACATAGTATGGATCCGTATTTCCCCTAATTAATTAATTATTAATTAGGAGAATGGAGCTTTACAGCCTGACTTTGAAGATTGAAGTTACATGGTGGGTTGCTTGGTGCTTGTGGGTTGTCTCTTGTCAGAGTCGGGAGCGGTTCTCTTTGTAAGATGGGTTACCTACATCTATGGCTTGCGCCTTGCGGCTGTATTGAGTATTGACCAATTCTGTTAACAACCGGAGCGGTTGGGTTAGTCACTCAGACAGCTATTCCAGTCCGACCAGCTTTAATTTCAAGGGAAAAGCAACAAATTGGGTGAACAATTAATGGGGGCCGGAGAGAGAGAGACCTTCAGGCATATAATATTTCATATCTATATCAATTATTTTCTATTTTAATATTTTTATCTTTTAACATTAAGAAAAAAAAACAATCAAATATTAAATTTTGAAATGTTTGATAAACAATATATTTATTTTTATAAATAATAAATATGTTATTATAAAATATAAATCAAAATATCAATTGATAATTTATAAAATATATAATGTTAACTTAAAATATTTCATATCTATATATTAAAATTTTTAAAAGCATATAATATTGAAAATTCATAATTTTTAATTACTAAAATGATTATTACATTATTAACACTTTTATTTCAATAATTTTTCTAAAATAGTAAATAATTTTTATATAAATTCAAATTAATGTATTTAATAGATACAATATAATATTATTTGTTTGAATATTTTTGTAAAAATAATTATTTTTATAAATAATAAATATGTTATTACTTAGTATAAATTAAAATATCAATTAATAATTTATAAAAATATATTAAAATTATAAATATATGAATTTTAAATACTAAAATAATTATTCTATTATAAATATTTTATTTGTATAAATTTATTGAGTAACGTCTCGGGGATCTATACATTCAAGTCAACCTACAAATCTTTCGAAACCCAACAGCCATCTTCCTCACAAGCCCGCTTCATTTGGAAAGAGATATGGAAGCTGAACATCCCCTATCGATGTATGGTTTTTGTTTGGAAATTAGTGTGGAATGGAGTGCTCACCCGAAACAAATGTGTGAAATGGTTACCCCAATCTGAATTACATTGTCCTTTCTGCCAAGTCAGCAAAGAAACCATCCAATATATTTTCTTGGTATAATAGTATATAAGGGCAACTTTTGGACCCTAATATCAATAAAAGTAATATATTTAAAAGAAATTTAAAAATTAGGTTAACTTCTTGCAATCTGTTCAACAGTGCCGCCGTCGGCCTCTGTCTACCACCACTTTCCGCCACCCATTGGCCGCCGCCGCCCTAGCAACATTGCCAAAGGTGGGTGGAGGCAGAAACGGCAGCGGCGGCGACGCTGGTGGTCATTCCTTTGCCCAACGCCACCATCTCCGCCTTCGGAAACGTTGTCGGAGGTGGGCGGTGACAAAGGCGACGGTGGGCGACGGAAGTGGTGGCATTGGGTAGAGGAATGACTACCAGCGCCGCCGCCGCCGCCTTTGCCTCCACCCACCTCCGACAACGTTGCTGGAGGTAGAAGCGGAGGTGGGTGGAGATAGCCGGAGGCAGTAGCAGCCAGGGGCGACGCTGTTGAACAGATTGCAAGAAGAAGAAGATGAATGGTGATTTTACACTTAATTGATATTATTTTTAAAAAGTTAACCTAATTTTAATTTTTTTTAAATATATTACTTTGTTGATATTAGGGTATAAAAGTTGCCCTTATATGCTATTATCCCTAAAAAAATAATATTTTCATATAATAACAAAAACGGGATAGATTTTTTGAGAAATATCAGACAAGGGTAGTGGAGGGTAGTGGGCACTGTTGCTCGTCTTCTTCTACCTCTGTATTCAGTGAATGGAACTTTTAAAGAATGATGATAGAAAACAAGAATCCTAGTGATAAATCGTCAGTTTTTTCTCACGTGCATGGTCGTATTTTCGGCAGGATTCAATAACCTTTGCTATACAAATGACAACGAGCTGTAGAAAAGAATCTTTTTCCGGTATGGTATTTCCAGCAGCTCGTTGGATTGTAGAATGACCGACAGCTCGTTGCAATACAACCTTTGCATTACGTAAGTAGTAAAGCAGGCAAAGGGTTTCTTCTCTCATTCTCTTTTACAGCTTGATCACAAGTTTCTCACGAATCCGTTTGCCAAACCTCTTTGAGTTTCTAGTGAAAATTCCATTCGTATGAATACAGAGGAGGAGGAAGATGATCAACAGTACCTAATGCCTTATTTGATATTTTTTCAAAAAAGCTATCTCATTCTAATTATTATATGAGAAATGTTATTTTTATTGATATTAGGGGCAAAAAGTTGCCTATATTGGAAAAGGGAAGGCAGCCAATCCATTACTTAGGTAAAGAAAGCTATACATGTTGGCATGCTGTTGAGTTGTATATTATCCTAAGTTGACGTTCGCATGCTAGATATGCTAATGTATGAGCAGTAGTATTGTAGTTTCTATTTATATGTACAAAAGTAGACAAAAACCTTCTCATGTGTGTGCCATGGAGCTGCTCGATCCAGTTTCTTGGTTGGCTTTTGTCTTGCAAAAAGTTGATCAGCCTGTAGATTTTTAATACAAATGTGTTGTTGTTAATGGCTGCCTTTAAACCTTGGACTAGGGCTCTGATTTCTGCACCCTAATTGTCGATGGCCCAATAGGGTTCTCCTTTAGCAATATTTGTACTTCCACCGGGATATTGGAGGATGAGAAATCATCTTATAAAACCTGAAATTGGATCGTATGAACCATTAATTTGTAGTGTAGACTGTAGGGAAGTCTTCCCTTGGCATGGTTGGTGAGGCTGAGTTCCGTGTGATTCTCATGCAATGGTCTTGACATCCTTAGGACTTAGGAATGACTTCATTCCCCACTCTCCAAATGACATATAATAGAACTCATGTCATGTGCTCCAGATCCAAGATTTAGATTTAGCCATGAATCCATGATTGATATCTTTAGCTTTGAGAAAAGAAATATAATTTGCTTTAGAAATGGTGGGTGGGCTTCTGGGCCTAATTCACATGGCAATTATGAGGAATGAGGAATCGTTCCAACTTTGAAAACTCCGCCGCTACACGACCCGAATAGGGATGGATACCACTGGCACTGGGACAGTGGCATCGACGTTATTTACTATGAAATCTTAGGTTCGTTTCGTACGATCATTATATTTATACCTCCCCCTGTTTCAGTGCTTCGACACACAGAGTAGAGCACGCATCTCCGATCTCTTGCCTTCGAATACGAGTGAAGCAGAAAGAAGGACGAGATGGGTATGAAGGTTCGTCCCTTCTCTGTTTCAAAATTTCTATTGCTTCCTCAATCCGTTCATCTATAATGAGCTTTTATTTTTCCCGTTAATCTTCATTTTGTACTGCATTTTGTGTTCGAAGATTAGATCATAGAGCCATTTGTTTTACTGTAAGATACAGTGAGAATTCATAGCTTAGTTGTCTCCTTCTTGGTGTTAGTGGCCGTCTTTCTTTGTTTCTTGCATAAGTTATATGTTCTCAATCTCGATTACATAAACTTTTCTCCTGATCTATTATGATTATCGATATGCTGAAACAGGCATTTTGCCCTGGTCCATCAGTTTATGTTGAATCTCAATATACGTCGTTAAAAATTTTAATATTTGAATAAAAATGTTCTGTATAAAATTTGTATTCTTCAAAAAATTGTAGAATGAGTTGAAAGATCAGGAATTTTTGGAGTTGACGGGCAATCCCTGATAGACAGATTAGATCATAGAGCCACGGCAGAAAAAATTTGGAGTTGGCTCGCTTATTGAGTTTTTCTGCATCTTTAGGAGTTCTGTGCTTCTAGTTTGGTTTGAGATTTCGTTATATGAATGAGTTGAAAGATCAGGATTTAGTTGGCGTTTTTAGCCATCTTGATTAAGAAAAGGTTTTTAATGCTGGAGAAATTCTGTTGCCTCATGAACATTTTGTTGACTTTGTTAGTACCACAAGGTGATGGTTCAATTTAAAACGAGTAAAGTCGCTTAAACTTTGGACTGAGATAAGTTGATACACAACAGATTAGATTGAGTCAGTGAATCTTTCCAAGTTTGGGTGAAGCAATGTCCACGCTTCAGTCTTCTTGAGATTCGTCCGCTCTTGCTTAAACATTTTTTAGTTACATCGATTCTAATGTTTACAAATCTTGTTCTGTAACAACTGTTTTATTTTCAATTTAATCTTTTATTTTTATTTGGTGTACAAGCATGTGACCCGAGTTTAGTTTAGCAACCTGGACTTCACAAACTGGTATCGTAGAATTTACATAAGATCTCTTGTTAGAAAAGTTCCTCTTCATGCGAGGAGTCCTTTATTAAATCACCATCTTGTATATAATATTATAATATGAAAAAATAGTACAAGCTAATCAAGTCAATTTCAGTTTTTGCTGGACTAGTTTTTCTCCAGGACAACTAGAATCATCAACTTGCCATGTGGAAGTGTTAATTCATACCTACCTCACCAATGTCTGCACATGCCGATATAATTGTTGCTCAGAAACTTATGGTTTGATGTCTTGACCTGCCTATGCTCAGCCAAGTACTAATAGTTTTTGAGATTGTTTATGTTTGAACATAGGAAGCAACCATGAGAATAGTTAATCTATGAAAATACAGCATCCCGTGGTGCTTCTATTTTATTATTGATGGAGCCTGTTGAAACTTAATGTGAACATACGTTTTCCATTTTTTTTCAGAATTAGTGTTTCATGAAAGGTGTGCCACAGCCGTATATAATTGTTGTTTCTTCCTAGGAAATTTTAATTACTAATTTGGTTTTAGACAGACTTTTCTCACCTCAAGTAAACAAATTCAGATTTGTATCATAGCATATTCAGCTTACAACATCGTGTTTCTGACGGACTGGTCTTGGCCCTTTTGCAGGAGGAATTTGAAGAGTATGCTGAGAAGGCAAAGACCCTCCCAGAGACTACAACAAATGAAAGCAAGCTCATTCTTTATGGGCTGTATAAGCAAGCAACTGTTGGACCTGTGAACACCAGTATGAGCTTTTCTTCTTCTACAAGTCAAGTGATAATAAATTATTGTAGTTATTTATAAAACAAGTATATATCCCAACTCCCAAGCCGAGGTTTCATTACACTGGGATGAATTTTCGTGGCATAGAAAATTCAGAGATTTGTTTTACCTTTTGTTGATGTTTAAGTAATAACTTATGACTGTTCTTTCTGTAGGCCGCCCTGGTATGTTTAACATGAGGGATAGGGCAAAGTGGGATGCTTGGAAGGCAGTTGAAGGTATGGGATGTACATGTACCTCAGAACATCTAATTGGTTTTGTGTTTTGTCTCTTCTGGGATGCATTTAATTTCTCACTACGATTACTCCCTCTTGACAGGAAAATCTCAGGAGGAAGCAATGGGTGACTACATCACCAAGGTCAAGCAATTGCAGGAAGAAGCTGCTGCCTCTGCTTAGTATTTTGTCCGACTATCTTGAGCTTGAAATGAGGAATCATATGTAGCTTTTAACTAGAAAACATGTTTAGTTGGTTTATCAGGTAACTGTAGTTGAACATTGCTTTGCCAAATGGAATGTCCACTCTGCTTGGTTGTATGGTTTTTCTTCTTATATTATGTTGCTGCAAAATGCATGCAAGTTACTTTCATTGTTTGGTTTGTTGGAGGATGTGATGGAATACCACATTCCTGTACCTGCTTCCAGGACCAAGTGCTGTATTGCATTTCCAATGCTGTCAGACTCAAGACAGATCACCAACCTGAGAAGGGTGGTCACGCACATCAGATGGTCCGGACCACTTGGTTAACCCAATGACTCATGATGTGATATATAAAATATTAGGGTTCTACAAGTTTGATTAAACCCCTAGATTCGATGGGATTCAGATTTAAATTCTAAATAATCGGGACCCGATTACAGCCCTAATTCCTACATAAAAGTTATAAACCATCCATGACTATGATCTTTCAAAGTTGAAGCTAATATTACCAAGTTATTCTTGCAAAGTCCTGAGATTCAGAACTATGGCTAAGTTATAAACCATCCTCTTTGATGTGGGATTGAGACCGGATCTTCTGTCCACAAGAACTCTGCTTACATTTATCATAGTCACACATGGGGAACATTGCATTCTCTGCATGGTATTATGTAGGGGGAGATGTTCTGCATGGTAGTGTATTGTGGGTAAGCTTGGGCGGAGTTCTTGTGGACAAGAGATCTAGAGTCTACACAAGGTGGGAATGTGAGAGCATTCACGAGACATAGATGATAAATCTACAATCCAAAAAAAAAAAATTCTCAAAAGACAATTCCTACCAAATCCTGATAAATGTTTAGACATTAGACGACCTCCCCATGATGTTGATTGAACATCTGTGGCACTGGTACCAAAGAATTTTTATGTACAAACCCACCTCCCCAATTGGCCTTGTTCTCGACTGTGGAATGGGAGCCACTAGAAACAAAACTGCAAACGGCATTTCGGTGGCAGCCTTTTGAGGCTTACAGTTGTAAAATTAGGCGGAGTTGAGTTGATGGAAGAACTTTACAACCCACGTCCAGGCGAAATATTCTATCTCAAACAAACAAAAATGGGAGAATGACAGTTCAGCCCAGGGTCAGAATTTATAGGCTTAAAATATCGTTGAGGTAGGTGTCAGATTGTAATTGATGCCAATTTATGGGCGGGCATTAGTATATAACGTATAGATTATACATTTTGAATGTTTATAGCTTTACAGTGGAAATCAGAAATCTGCATTGAACTTTTCTGTACCTTTCCGAACAAAAATTGATCAGCCAAGGAGCCATTTGATATGATCAGAGTGTAGTACATGTTGAATAACATGTGGAGGATTTGATACTACGTCATGGGAGGATGAATGTTACAACTTACAAGCATAATTTGCTAGCCCATGGACAGTTCAAAGCTATTTATTATATATGATAAAATTTTGAAGGATAAATGAACACATTGGATACTCGATCTTGATGCCGTCTCAAATAGGTTAAGCTCATAAGCTGTCTAAAGAAGAAATCTCCTTTAATTTTGCAAATCCTTTGTCTAAAATTTCCCGACCACATTCACATTCTTTCTTCTTTCTAAGGACAGTAAAGTAAGAAAATAAATGCTTGACCCCTTCAAAGCCTTCCTCCACCAACTGCACAGCATGTCAACATGTTATTATTGCATGTTTTATTTAAACTACTACTATTTGTAAGCAACCGAGAATACCAAAAAACTTACCATTACCAACATAAATTGAGAGAGAGATTGCACTAGGATAAATGGACGAATGAATTAATCAAATGTTGTTCTACTACCTAGTCGGTTAATAAATTTACGACCTAATGTTGTCATCAACATTTTTCAACTAAGTCATTATTTGTTTGCAAAATCATCATCATCAAATATGTCAACATCCGGAGACCAGAGTCCAGATAACAGATAGTCCAGGCTTTCCTAGATATCTAATAGGCCCTTTAATATGATCTCTGCCCCTCCCCACCTCATTGAAGTGTTCACCCTGATTTTAACCAAACCTTACTTGGCTGGGACTGATAATGGGGAGTATTAAAAGAAATTTTAGCGAATGACAAACTGTTGCTTAGATTTGAGGGAGACAACATAAATATGGAGGAATAGTCGTTGAAACATCCACTTTTTTGGGGCACATCTTCATAGATGGAAAAAAAAGAAAAGAAGATCAAAGGTACATAAAGGGTGCCGTTCTATTCAAAAGCATAGCTTGTGACCTAATCACAACCCTTTTGACAGTGTCATTGGGAAAGGTTATTCTTCAACATTTGGACAGGGGATTTTTACGCCACCCTTTTCTTATGGAAAAGTTATTTTTCTGCGATATTGTTTGGTTATTGTAATAAAAAAAAGGACTGAAGCATAACGCCTGTTTGGATTTTACACAATTTGGAGGCTGGATAAGCTGCACTTGATGGCTGTGTTAGGGGCTGTTTAATCATTAATAACACTCCACATCAGTCAATACATGGGTCCTATCATTGGTCAAACAGATCAGCCCCTAACACAGCCATCAAGTGCAGCTCATAAGTACCATCATTGGTGCTGTAGCTGAACTGTTAATCCCTGGTTCAAAGGAAACAAAGTCTTGTCATATGCAACAGCGGCATGGGTTTGTTTATTGTTAGACCAAGACAAGGCAATTGCAGCTCCTCATCTTCAGTCTCCACTCTACCAAAGATTAATTCTAAACTACTAATCTCGAGATTATTCTTTGGTCTACTTGTGTTGACAAATGCTTTGCATTTCGCAATGAGAATTAAAGAAACGAAATGAATGCCTATGAATGTTAGAACTTAGGAATGTGACACATCAATGGGAATAACACAGTAAACTCAAAAGAACCATTCAACCTAAAAGCTTAATATGTTAGGTGAGGTCCCTGAATAGATTTTTATTCTCTAATAGAAACTTTATAAATTTCCACTCTTGTTTCTGATTTATCACCAAGCTAATGAATGAAATGCTTCTTGCCTTCAAAAATCCCACCCCCCAAATGCTGCCTTAGTGGTTCCGTATTTTGGGTTGAGGGAATCTGTTGATTCATTTGCATCAAGATGCCCTCTTTTAGCTGAGCCATAAGCCAGGCCAGGTTAATCGGACCAGACCAGCCCATCCATTTGATCAGAAAATCAGACCAGACCAGACCAGCCCATTCTAAGATTGTTCAAAATCTATTTCTTTCTTTATGATTTTTATTTCTTGAAATAACATTTTTCATGTGTTTAAATCATAGATTTTGATAATGGAGGTAATCTAATTCAACATTCTTAATACATTGTTCAGCAACCATCTTATGCCTATGCCTCTTGTTAGTAATTACAGTCAGTTCTTGGTTGAAATAACCAAAATCTTGACTGCAGAGGAAATTGAGAAGGCATGAAATAACTGTGATAAGGATTGGGAGTTGGATAGTTGAGGCTCTTCTATGGTTTACCAAAGAATCTTACAAGACAGAAAATATTGGCCGGGAACTAAACTGTCAATTCATAAAGCAGATCATTATTCTCTCTCAAATCAACCATAGAAATGTGATGAAGCTCTTTAAGTTGTTGTCTAGTGACAGAAGTTCATTTTAATTTATAAATTCATCAAAAATGGAACTCTCACCCAACCATATTCATAAGGGTCATTTCTCCTCAAATTCAAGGTAAAAAAAAATCATTTTACGGATAACAAGAAGAACTGTGGGAGTGCTTGCCTATTTACTAATGACTCATTGGCTGCTATGCCAATTATTCATAGAGAGATAAAGTCAACAAATATACTTTTAGTGCTTGATATTGAACCAAAGTAACTATATTTGTGCAGGGGACTTTGGGGTACTTGGACCCAGAATACTTTTACACAGGCCAGTTTACATTGAAAAAGCGATGCCTATAGTTTTAGACTAGTATCGTGGAACCATTAACTGAGAAGAAAGAAGATTTTATTCATTAAAAGAAAATTATTTGTTTGAAATTTTTTGCAAAGAGGAAGGGGTGTGAGCAAAGGGTTGCTTCTGGATAGTAGAGGAATTAAGAAGTTTCATGGAAGATCCATGATTTCAACTGGACATTAAGAAGTCACTTCTTGGTTCTATGATACAATCTCATGCTGACGAGAATGAAAACACAGGTCTGAATCTGAGAGCAGTCACTTTGTGACAAAAGAAATGCCAAAGATTAGTTCCTTACCAAGTCCACCCCTCCCAAAACCCAGATAGACAGGACAGTAACGGCTCTGTTAGAGATGTCTACACACACATACACATATATGTAGATTTTTCATTTCCAGTTTCAACTAGACCCAAGTGTACCCTCTGTGCAAGGACTAACAAAGTCAATACAAGGGCAATTATAAATTCCGTACTAATGATAACGCAATTAATTAAATCTCAGTAAAGATCATAAAGAATATGTGGTGTACTCCTGATCTGTGGTTCCACAGCTTGCTAACTATGGAATAAGCAAGACAGGAACCCGAACTTAAGTAAAATAGGTAATTTAAGGGCCAATAGTATAACATTGGATATGACATTAAACAGAATGGAATAGCGAAAAGGATTCATGTAGCCAACCCCATATAGTTGGGATATGGCATTGGATGATGATGGAGAGATGGGAATTAGTCCAATGGATGCATCTAGTCTTTCATCTAATAAACAGATACTATCCTGAAAATCATTTTCAAAGCTTAAAAGTACAAAAATCCTGAGAAAATTAGCATGTAACAGTGTCATTTTATCTCTGGACAGACCAAGGACAAGAGCAATGACCACATATAAACGACAAAACATATTGGCCTTTTGATTCAGTAAGATAAGGCCTGCAAGGTGTTACAGCAAAAGTATGCACCATAAGTAATCAAACCATTTACATTTACCACTTTAAAAGCTAAATTACCACAAACAATTACAAGAGGGTAATTGCAACAGTTCTTATGAGCTGATTTTTATGCTGAAACACAATGAATTTGTTGTTCTAAAGCATCATGTTTCTTGTTCTTCTCTTTCTCCAACAAATACATTTGCTCAGCCTCTGGTATCGCCAACAGGATTGCATGCATTTTGACATTCATGTCTTCAATCTTTTTAATGAGATTGTCATTTGTAAACATGCCAAGAATGACATTTTGGATTGTCTCCCAGCTTTCATAAAGTGGTAAAGCAATAATCACAGCAGATGCAATGGTACCCCATACAATGGCAATAACTGCCCAAAATGTGAAGTACTTCAAATTGAACTCTCCTGCATCAACAAAAAAGGCACCAAATTGAGAATAGAGAATCAGTACAGATTTAAAGGCCTTAATAATTATCAGTCAGTTCACTAAGGGAGTAGCATATCATTTTATTTAGACATATATTTGGAAGGTACAGTCATATTCAAGTTATAACAAAGAAACTGAAAACAATGAAGGACTAAATTTACCTGCTGGAAGTGAGAGAATAGGCCATAGTATCACAATCACGACAGTAAAACCAACACCCCATCTCACTATCCAAGCTTTATCTCTTAATAGCTTTTCCTCTTTAAACTCTTCATCTGGTAACTCACTCTTGTCCTTTTCAACCATGGTTATCTGCTTAGTGGTCTCCCAATCATAGTTTTGGGGCCATAAGAAACTAAATATTGCATGAATAGCTCCACCAGTCAGTATAGACACCAGGTTTCCTGCAAGCATTGGTGCATTTCGGCCTGTTGTGTCCAGATTAACCCGACCATACTGAATGCTGGTGACCGATAACCATGTTATAACTCCGACAATGCAGCCAACAATGGTTCCAATAATAGCACCTTTTGAGTTAGCCTTCTCCCATAGAAGCATAAAAGCAATAGGAAGAACTGCTGAACCAATAAATACTCCCATGGCTAGATACATCCAACCCAGTGAAACTCCTGCTTTGTTCAGAACCACTGCTAGAACTCCCATGAAACATCCAAATCCTAGGATGACCCCCCTTGAAAATTTTAGGATTTGTTTCCCAGTTGCATTTGGGTTTATGTACGTACGATATATGTCATATGTGCATAAGGAAGAAACAGCTATTAGCTCAGCAGAACCGGCAGATGTCACAGCCCTGAAATGTAAGTGTATCCAAGTTAGCCACTTTTTCCTTGTTAAGATTGTCATTAGAAAGAAATAAATTCTGGCAAGAAATCTTAGGACTAGGCTCAATCCAATATGAGTATGCTTTGACCCAGATGGGGGGGGGTTGTTTTCCAAAACAAATGGTGGACACCCCCTTAGATGTTCTGTTTCAGTGTTCTTGAATTTGTTTGTCCTATTAAAGTTGGAATGATTTTGGAGGCAATTTGGCCATCTGTAGAGTTATTTGCATTCAGCTTGGATAGTTACATTTGCTTAAACAATACAAGAGCAAGCTAATATTTAATGCTAATTATCATTGGATATGCTATTTGGTATTGGCATGCATCACCAGCTCAACATGGAGTGAAACATTTTTTGGCTTTGCATGTGAGCTATATATCTTTTATTCATTTATTTATTTTTTTGCTTCCATGATAATGCAAATAAATAAACTTAGAAGGGTAGTGAAGTTCACATAAAAAGCATTGTGAGAAGCAGGACAGATCCTGCTTTTCCCATCAAAGCTATAGCAGTAGCAGGAGGAACAAGTCCATGGCTGGCCTCACTTGCTGTTATTGGTAGATCAAGAGCTAGAGCTCCTATACCCAGTGATGTTGCCAACGAGAAAGGCACGGCAAACCAAACCAGCCCACCCAACAAGTAGCCTTTGTGAGTTGATGAAGGTCGTGCTGCTATGGCACTAACCCAATATCCCTGTGAAGCTCCATAGAAAAAATTGTAAGTGGAGGTAACAAATTTCTGATCTAAAGCTTATAGAATAACTAGAACTGTGATACTCTCCCACCACATATTGCCACATTGAAATTGTCAAGAGGACATTCATACTTACATTATCAACAAAAACTGTGCCAAAGTTTCCAACAATATTGATAATTCCAAAAACAAGGCCACCAGAGCTCAACATAGTTAAGTAGGAGCCCTTGTGGTTTCCACTAACAGGTCCACAAGCTTGTCCATTATGAGAAAGTGGTTCCTGACATATTCTTGATTTGCTAGCAACTTCCAAGAGACGATTATATACAATGCGTGGACTACCAAGATCACTACTAGAAGTGTATACAAGGTAGACAAAGATTACCAAAACCACATGCACTGAAAGCATAAATAAATATTAGAGAAGCTCAACAACAAATATAAATGTAGAAGTTGTCAAAGATTATTCAGATGCCTGGTATACCTATAACAGAATGTATGTAACTGGCCAAGAAAGTAGCTTTTAGTCCTCCAGCTAATGTGTATACTATCACACCAAGAGGAATTAGAAAGCTTGCAGCATAAATGTTGACCCCAGTAAGTGCATTTACCACAGCAGAACCACCAAGAAGAAGCATAGCAGTGACAATAATGTTTGTCAAGAAGCAGAAACAGAGGAAGACAACATGAGCAGCAGTCCCCCATCTGATGAAGAGCAATTACAATTACAATTACAATTACATTAGACAAGGCACAGCCTGACAGACGGGTAAAGTGTATCTATCACATGAGAACTATAGAGGAATAGCTTCTATCTGCACAGAGAAAGCAATACATATTCTGTGCATTCAGTGGTCCATACTGGCTTCTGATGGAGACTCTAAATGCATAAAAAGAAAGACCTGATTAATTACTGCATTTGATGCTTTTGGTTGGATTGAGGAAGACCCATTAAATAACAGGCATGCCTACCAGATATAATATCTTCTCCATGATCAATATTCTGTTTCTTGACACTAACTACCACACAGAGTGATCAAGATTATAGCCTTAAGCATTTGAAAATTTAAGAAACTGTATGGCAGGTGATACTTACCGAGCTCTTACAATTTCACAAACAGTATGAGCATGAGGAGCTTTTCTCTTGATCTCTATAGCCATGACACCAAACAAGAGTACCTGTTTGATCGAATTGAAACACCACCTATCAATGTTCTCTCTTTCTTTCTCCTCCTGCCCAAGAAAGAATAAAGATTTTTGAGTTGACAGTACAGACCTGGATGGTGGCCCCGCTTGCATACCAAAATGGCCCGCTAATGCCATACTCCCAGGCAACATTTGAACTCTGTAAGATTGTGGCAGCCCAAGTCCACTGCAAAATTCGAATACAAAAGCTGTATATTAACAGATTTCTCCCAAACTCAATCTAAGTTTTCAAAAGATTGGCACTGGAGAAAAAGAATGTCACCTGGGACACAATCACACTAGCAATCAGTCCTGTCTTAACATTTCTGCCCGCAGTGTTGAACCATTCAGATGTGTGGCGAGAACCCACATATCGCTTCTCAAGCCATACCTAATTAAACAAAACAAAGATGAAATCAAATACAAGAAACATGGATTATACCACCCTTAACATGGTCACTGTGTTGCTGTCAGTGTTGGAGAAAACTAGAGACCGTATGCTAAATTGCAGGTCAAAATTCAATATTGAATTTAAAAAAAAAAAATACACATACAATTTTGTATCAACAACAATACAATTGAAAACCAATTAAACTAAGATTCTGGGACACTAGACGGGTAACTGGTGTGGGGCCCTAAGATTTGCCATCTGTCCTGAATTAGGGTGATCAGGAGATTCAAGACCCACCATTTAATGGTTCTGACGTTAAAGATTATTTGGAGCAGAAATCATCACTCATGGACAGATAATTTATATATTATGCGAACTAATTAATACATGTATAAAGGTTACTATTATATGTATAAAAACTTATTATATGTCGTTCAGACTTCAGAGTTTAAACTTGTCTTAAAAGGAGTTTAAACTTTAAACTAATGAACTAGGGTCAGGTTGGGCCTGTAGGCTGGGCCGCTATATATCCCAATGTAGAGGATGACTTTGGGTCCATTAAGAGAGCCTTAGACCAACACTACAAGATAAGGCTTGTAGGCCCAATTTGTAGCAATAACTGTTACCTCAGTTGGAACAGGCAAAATACACACACCATGTTGTTTGGCAGGACTAGAAACTGCTTTCTAACTACTTCCATGTCTGACATATTCAGTACTGGCACAACCACCAACACCAACAACCACAACGAAAATCAAAAAGGAAAAACTTACAACCAAACAAGAACAGTGACGACTACATACATATGATATTTATGGCACCAAATAGATATTGGGTTTGAACAGAAGTATAAATTCTGCCTAAATGAATAGAATAGTCCTGATGAATTTAACAAGTGAGAGAGAGAGAGAGAGAGAGAGAGAGACCAGGAAAGAGGTGAAGACGGCAAAGAAAGCCCCAAAGCCCAGAATAACAGAGTAGCCAACTCCTTGATTGAGAACGGCTTTGCCCTCAAAGAAACTACTCTGGCGCATGCAGCTACCTCCATCGGAGACATGGTAGTACTTGCTGGCGAAGGAGAACGGCGGGCACTGCGGGGAAGAAGAAGCCATGAGTGAGGGGTGGATGAGTGGGAAGAACTGTCAACTGTGTATCTGTAACACTTTCAGGCTTTCAGTTATCCATCTTCTCTGATCTCTGCTATACTATATATATAATAGGAAAAAGAGGAAAGAGGAAAGAGGAAAGAGGAAAGGATGTTATATTAGTTGCGAAGGTTAGTTCATAGTTATATACAAAATGGAGGTCGAACACTAGAAAAGTAGAAAGTAGAAAACAGAAAAAGTACCTTCGAATCTTGGCCCTACCCGTCGCTCTCACCTTCTCAACATGGAATATTCACTACGTTTTCCCCCAATAAAGTCGTATATTTGGAAGGTGGAGACATTTGCTTGCTCTTGCTGGGTTGACCCTAATTTGTAGGACAAATATCTGCTGTACGTTTTTTGTTTTAATTCGTGTATGACTTTGGTGTGTAGGTCCCATGATGAGCCAGTTTGGATCCCCACCTGACAATGAATTAAACATTCAAATGTTCAAAGCGTACATAAAATCCTATGCACTCATACTCCTTAGTGAATTAACATCAATTTCGAGCCGGCACTTACCCCAACTGTACTTTGGGCCTATGAATTCTGACCTAAAAGACAGTTGCATTTAGGAGTCTTAATGGACCGATTTTGTGTTGGACCTTGCCCAAATCAAAATCAATTTTGCAGAATGGATGAACCAATTACATATTAAAGGTCCAAAATATTTTATGGATTGGATTGGATTGGACCTAGTGCATCCATAATAGATTAATATTGGATTAAGTCGGATTGAACCGATATCTGGTCCATTGACAAAAGATAAGAATGCAAGTGTCAATGGACCAGGTTTGAACGGGAACCACTCTAAATTAAAAGTGTTGGACAATCCAGTCATTAAATAGCACTAATCCAAAATGGTCCAGAATATTCCTTGGATTGGATTGAACCTGATCCATCTATAATGGACCACTCATATTGGACCATGCCAGATTGAACCAAATTCGATCCAATTGACACCTCTAATTGTAATATGATGTCTTCTAATATAAACTCGTAGAATTGGAATGAAATGAAATTTGTTTAAGGGTTTCATAGAATGAATAAACAAATAAGTTTTCCAAACAAATCTCTAATTGTAATGCATGGATTCATTGACTAATTTAATATATCTTGATCATCACCTAAAGCAGCAGACGTGGCTATTTATGAACCGCGGGTGTTTTCTTTAGACCAAGATTTTTATTGAATTTTCTTATTGGAAGTCTAATTTAAAAGCTAAAAATAATCCAAATACCAAGCTCCTAACGTGAGCTATATAGGGAAGCATGATAAGGAATCTTATCTTAATTAAATATATAACCTTTCCTAAACCGGTAAGGACAGATACCTTTGGTCCATCCCCTTTTTTAATTCACTAAAACTATTAAGAGTATCACTCTCTCTCTCTCTCTTATAGTGACGGGGTAGAAGGGTACCTTTTTCTGCTTGCGAAGAGATCACGTAGACCATGAAGGAATAGTACGTTTGCAACATGTTGCTGTCGATCATAAATCAATCCAATCCAATAAGTTCTAACAAGAACGAGAAACTTTCTACCGAACAAGAAACCATTTCAGTCTAACCGGTTTAATCAGGTTAAAGAAACTAAAAGTAAAAAAACAAGCTAAAATTTCAAATTATTCTGCAGGAAAACCCAGATAAGAGATCTATTATCGTCGTGGTGGTGAATTCCTTTCCCTCATTCTAATGTCAGTTAGAAGCAGTGGTGAAGCTAGGAATTTCTTTTTTGGGAGTCAAGTTAAACAAGTAAATGAGATGGCGAGTAAAAGGAGTAGGATTTAGGAAAAATGGGCCGAGAAGGTTTGGGTTTATTAAAAATTTTTTAAAGAATATATATAACAATATATATTATATTTAATTTGGGGAATTGAAGGAGCCTTTGCATTTTATTTCAAGTTTTTTTTTTTTTTTCCGCCCCTCATTCAAAGTCAAAACTCTTTCCTTTCTACATTTATCATTCTTAAATTGAGATTCAACAAGTGGATATGGCTCATCTGTATGTAGGAGATTACCTAGAGTAAATGTGATGCTCTCAATTTTCAACTCTCTATATATCTTCGCTCTTTTAGTTGTATTATTGTCCGATAATAGAGCTTGAAAGCAGTCCACTCAAAATACCAAGGGCTCAGTTTGTTTGCTCATTTGCACTCAGTGCAAAGAGGATGTGTAAACTTGGATTTATTTTTGCTTGGCATTTCAATTTGTCATTGATTGTGAAAAGTTAAATAATGTGCCACCTTATATAAAAGAGAATGGAGGTAAGAGGTTTGTTTGTTTGAGAATAATGTAATTAGCAAGATGATGTGGTCATCACTTTAAATAAGAGAGAATTTATGTACGAGGAGGGTGGTGTAAATTTTGATCAAGTTTTTGAGATGCAAAATTTGCACTGCCAATGAGTGCAGATGTGATATTAATGACTACAAATGTTGTATAAGATAGGTGTGCAAATCATCGGTCAAAACTCATCGGATTAATTATGTTTCTTTTATCAGAATGTCCTTAAGATTTGCATGTTATGGAACTTATACTCAGTTTTGAAGGAGTACAAATACAAATATGAAGAATACAAAATCTTGTATTTTGTATTATTTTCTATGTATTTGTACTATACAGTATTTGTATTCTTGGAAGGAATACAAATACAAATAGGTACAGTATAAATACACACAAAACACATAGTTTTGCATTCTACATATTTGTATTTATACTCGTTCCAAACAGAGCCTTAATTACAACTTTCACTTTCACACTTATTTTCTCAACAAGCAAACACAATGTAACTACGGAGCTCTAAACTTAAGCCTGGTTATCTGTAATTAAGTAGGGGTCGTTTGGTACACTAGTGTTGCCTTGCTGTTGCGTTTTGGATTGATTAATACAAAATTGTGACAGAATATGTATTGCCACATCATACATAAGTGTTATTTCAACTAAAAAAGTTCATGTATATAAGAAATATCAAATTTAACATTTTAGGTATAAATAAAATTGTATTGATTAATTCAAAAAATTTCAAGTAGATTAATCACTTTCCCACAAATTTGTATTGAACTATTGGTCAATGCAAAATGCAACAATACAACACCATTATATCAATCACCCCCTTAATTGGGCAAGGATAGAAATATTAGAAATACCCAGAATATTTATTTCTCTCTCTAATATGATTAGGCTAGAAAAGATAAAAGGCAGTACTCCCAAGTTTTTCAGCATTATATCCTTTTACCCTTGAGTCTTGACTAGTTTATATTGTGTCCCTCCAAGTTTGGATCGGATAAGCTGCCTTTAGTTGCTATATTTGGGGCTGTTTAACTAATAATAACTCCCTATGTACGTCTGTCATGCATGCCAAGGAAGAGATTCAAAGTGGTTGTGGGGCATACTTGTTATATAGTGTATGCCTTTAGCTCTAATTAGACTAATGTATATAAATATTTATCTATAAATGAATCAAATACATTATTGTTTCATATTTATATTGATATATTTTTTATGTATTACTCTTTAAATTAGACACTTATGAGACTCATGCTAGTTTATAATGTTATTAGCTATTAGATAGACTTGGAGAATTTATCCTAACAAGACTAGCACTGGTATGTTACCAAATAGTTGGAGCAGCTTATCTCAGCTATTAGGGTTAAACCCAAAGCATAGGTACTGGGTGTTTGAAAGAAACACTAAACTTAGACCAATTTTCAATTATGCCCTAGACCTTAGAGATAGATGGGTAAAACTGAAATTTTGCACTTTACCCTGCATTTGATTATGGTACTGCACTAAGTGTTGGACTGGGCTATCTTTGATGTGCCAACCAATGAGATCCATCAATGGTCAGTTTGGGAAATCACCTGAGTGGGTGATCATAGTGATAAGATCGATCCCTTTGTCGGATAAAGTGAATATCAGGGTTTACACACTCTTTCTCATGGAAACCTAAACTACCTACAATGGATTTCAATTGTATTTGAAATCCGATTTTGCAAAATATATTTATATTTTATACTAGTATTTTATGAAAAAAGTTTGCAAAAGGTAATCATAAGATCTATTCGAGTAGAGAGTGTGAAACTACACCTTGCAGTTAGGGGAGAGGTCATTCCCTGTCAGGCAATATTGTGATCATTATGGGACAAGAGGTTAAGTGTAAGAGAGCATTACAGGGCTGATTATCTGATGAGCTTCACCTCATATAACTCCATTATCCTTGGGTCTTTATAGGGTGGTTGAATCCAATGATCATTTAGGTGTAAATGTTGGGCCTAAATTGAACCAATGCTAATTTGGTCAAGGGTTCACTGCCCTGAATAGTGAATTCGACCTAACATCTTTAAAGGGTAGGGCAAAACCTTTATGGACTTGTGTGAGACCTTTGTGGGGTCCCACCCCATACAATCTCAAGCCCAAAGCGGCCATGCAACACCTAGGGAGGTGAGCCTTTGAAGAAAATGGGCCATGGGCCCATTATTAATGAGATTAGTTAAGTTATCACATGTGTTTTGGGTCGAAACTGGGCATGATTCTAAGTATAGAGCACCTATCTTCTTAAGAGGATAATGCTTATCTCTTACAAGAGTTTAGATCCAAATCAGATTTAGATAATATCTTAATCACATTAGGAGAGTGCTCCATAAAATGGAATTAAGAGGGAGAGGGCGAATAGAACTTATTCTCTTCACTCTCTTGCTTTCTCCTATTCTCTCTTGTTTCCCAGAAACCCCAATTCGACCTAAGCATTAAAAGAACTGATTTTTATCAGCTTTCCTGTTGTGCTTTTGCAAGAAAAAAGTTGGGGAAATCAAGCTGAAAATTCCAGTCAATCCAAGGCAATTGGATAGTAGTTTTGCAGAAAACAGTGTTGTTGAATCGACTTCTCATTCACTATGCCATCTTCAGTTGGAGGCCAGCTTTTGGGAATGATTTTGAGCATAAACTACCACTCTGAGATATGTGATTTGTGGGCTTCGTATCAGGTACTGTTAATTTTAATTTTGGATTCAAATCTAGTCTGGTTTAGTGAAAGATCGATTCAGAAATTTCAAATTTCAAAATCACTTAGAAATCGGTTCACGGGATGGATTAGAAAAATTTTTGAAATTTGCCTGGCCATTTAAAATGGTTCGGCCATCCATATGATGGATTCTAATCCCTCCAATAATACTTACACTTGATGACTGATATAGGGCAATATTATTGGTTAAACAATCCCTAAATATCTAGCCAATGCACCTAACCCAGATTCCTTTTATTCCTTCTCTCTCCCTAGTATATGAGATTAAATACATGAATCCTATTTCGGCAATCGTTCTATTATAATGTTAATATATTTGTCCCATTTCTTTCACTTATCTCTTTCAACCTGATTGCATGTAAACCGCCTCTCCCCCCCCCCCCCCCCCCCCACCCATGTGCCACGTGGCATGTTTAACAAAAACGAATTAATCCAAAGTGAATGTCTCTCTAAATTAAATAAACTCTAACTGATATTTTTACTTTGGCTCCAAGGAGTACAAATACAAATATGCAAAGTGCAAATAGATGGAAAATAATACAAAATACAAGGTTTTGTACTCTACATATTTATATTTGTACTCTTTCCAAACTGAGCCTTAGGTTGTGTTCCGTTGCAATGCAAAAAAATTTGCACTGATGCAAAACCATGGCATTTCAAATTATTTAAGTGTAAATTCTGACCTATTTTTGTTTCAAATTTTAGCTTATTTTGTTTGATTGCAGTATAAATGAAGTAAATTAAGACATGAAACAGAATAAAGTAACATTCAAAACAAAATTAAACCAGAATTTGCATTTTTTTACATTTGCACTCCCATAAATTTGTACTAGTGCAAATAAAATTGCACTACACTAAATACAGCCTTAAGTTTTGAACCGGAAGAAAAAGAAATAGTAAAAAATATAGTTTTTTTGGATATGTAGACTTCACTCCACCTCAGAATTCTAAATTAAACTGCAAACATACAACAATTCAAAATTATAAATACCTCCACCTATAACACCCATACCCACCCATAAATTGACATCAATTCCAAGCTAACACCTACTCCCAATTATACGAAAGAGCTAGGATTTCTGATGGTGGACTGAACAGTAAAAACCTTTTTTTTCACTTTTCTCTTGTAGCCCTTACCAGGCGCAGCTCATATTACAAAATTCCATGTCGGCTTAGGTCCCAGGGCGTATCTAAAAGAGAATAAATATTAAATAATATATATGATCAAGTCGATATGGGCTGGGTCGAGATGGGCCTATGCAGATCTTCTGGAATCCGCAGCCATTAGTCAATGAAACAGGAAAAGAGAGGCCCAAATGAGAAAGTTAGTTTTGATATTGATCTCATTAAATCTAAATTAAAATCACTCTCTTCCACAAATTTATTAAGTCGATGGTGTTGTGTAGCCCATTGCAGGTTTGAAACACGATTCAAGGATAATTAGAACATTAAACCCAGAACAACTCTGTGGCTTTGTAGGTTGGTTCAAGAAGTCAAAATAGGAAACCTCAACACTTCTATTGGTCAGACGAACGAAAGGTGATGAGGGGTAATTTAGCCTTACCTATCAACACCCGAACACGTGGAAGTGATCTGCCGATTGGATGACAATTCAGTGTTCTTTGCCACTTCAACAAGTTAGGTCAATTTGGGTACCTTGGCTAAGACCAAGGTCCGAACAGCTTGTGATGGCCCGATCTGCCGAGGTGATACATAGCCAACTTTTAGAAGATAGCCAGTTGTCTCTGATCTCTCTAGGATCACATTGTACATCTGCAAGCCTTATCCTTATCCCACTCAAGCCTTATCAGCTCACACGAAGTGCACCTCCAAGTGTGGAATGGATTCCTAGTAGCACGGGTCGGGGATCTTGGAGGTGTTTCGTAAGACCTATGGAAACTAACCTATATAAGGGCATCAACCCCAATGTTACAAGGTACGCAGAATTATTTGCTCACTAACCTTTTAGCATATAAGTTTTCAGCTCGCAAACAAACTACTAACTTAAGCATCGGAACACCCACAACGGATAAACCACCTCAGGTTCTCTGAGCATTTTTCTCTTACAATTCGACCAACCAACTAAATGGACCAACGTCCAAACTGCCCTCCAGATAAGAGCATCCAGACCGTGTGCCATCAAAACGGACGAATAAGATAACTGTAACATTTGTTTATATACAAAACAGGAGAAGCAAATTTTTGGCAATACGAATTTGATTATGCATCACACAGATTTCTCAACATAAGAATGCATTTCCTCGTACGATGATACGATATATAGAGAATGAAGTTGAGAATTTAATATGTCCCATCAAGAATTTCATTGCAATGTACTCAAATCAAAATAGTGGGATCAGGCCAAAAGCCCAGCCCACTTAACACCCATAACAACTAACTTATTACTTAATAAAGACCATACAAAAAAAAAAAAACAAGACTAAGGTCACTTTTATTTATTGACAAACAGAACACTATATTATTCAGCTTTTTCTGAATCATAAATCACTTTTCCTCCACTCTAAAAGTTCAGTGATACCCCAGTGGAGCAGCAGTTTCCCTCAGCTCATAACCTTGGTTGTGTATGTCCTACAATCCAAAACAAACCAAACACACAGAGTTGTGAACTAGTCAGATTTGGATCAAATATGACTAGTTCTAAATTCTATCCAATTAATATTCAGATTCATTTAAAATCCTACCAGTAGGATCCAGATCATGACCAAATTTGGATATTTTGTATCATCAATTACAAACTAAAAATGAATTAAAACATGAATTGAACATTATCTACCATTAAATTAAAATGTGTTCAAAAACAATTTTCTTTTGTTTTTGGGGGTTTTAAAACAATTTTCAAGATCTTTAAACCAATTTTGCCAGAAAATATATAAATGCTTGTTCATGGCGTAGGGAATATTTTTAATTGGAGCCTATTCTTGAACCATATGGGAGATGTGGCTAGTGATGGTCCCTAGAAGGCTAGACCCATATCACTGATCGTCCGGTTCTTGTCCAAAAAGTACCAGAGCGAAATCTACTAAATCAGAATAGAATAAGATAGAGGAGCCTTGCTAAAATTAAATTCTCATCAACTATATATATGTTGATAGGGAATTTTCATTTATGATCGGTTGAACCATCATCCTGTCAGAATTATGGGTCTGTTTTTGCCCTATTGTTCAGAAAAGTCTTGACTGAGTCAATGGACCAGGTAGTTCAGTCATTTCAACCCTTGGCCCCGTTCGACCAGATCAGTTGGGTACGGGTTAGCCTTTTTTTTTTATGGCATTTTTAATCACTTCCATCGTTAATAGCAATAATTCTTTTTCATTATTTGCTAAACTCATTTTTATAATACGATGAATATACAATTTATATAATTCCTAAAATTTCTGAATTTTTATCTGCTCTTTATGTTTTTATTATTGGATTTAGACAACATGATCCCAAAAACTAATTCTCATTCATAATAACAGGGAGAGAGATTATAAAGAAGCATTTTTTTTCTATTTTAATTCTTAACTGGTAGAATAATAAAGTGAAATAAATGGATTCATGAAGTTGTGCTAAATTTAGAAATATCTATGTTATATAGTGGAAAGATAAGGCTATGAGTCCTCCATGCTTACACGCACTTACTTTTCCCTTCCTTTCTCACACATGTATTTTATTTATTTTTAAATTAAATTAAAAACATAAAAATCACTAACCATCTCAAGCCCTTTTAATTTCTAATAAAATCCTTGTTTAACTCCCCCCTCTCTCTCGTGGACATGGTCGGTGTTTGTAACTCTTTCTCTCATCTTAAATCTCCCAAATTCCTTCCACTAAAAAAGTTGGAGTATAAATGGGATGGGCTTGTAGAGTTAAAGGACCAACCCAAGCTCATCACTAGATCTGGACCTTAGGCTTGGCCATGGACAGAGATCAAAGCCCATTTAATGTGACTCGGGTGGATTTTTTGCCAGAAACCGGTTTGAACCGCGATCGTCCTCTCCCTATTCCCTAGTGCCGGGTGGTCCGCTTGAATAACATTGAATAGATTGATGGAAGGAATCAAGATAAATATGGGGAATGGAGCGAGGCTTACCGATGCAAAGTGGTTAACGTCGCGGTGATGCGCCTCGTCGGCTCTCACGGCCACAACCACATCACGGAGAGTCGAATTCGGCGGTAAACGCCAGTAATCAATAGCGATGGCCGGGGCCGGGACGTTCTCGATAGTACCCTTATCCAACTCGTTCAAGAACTCAGTATACGAGTGTATTGCCTCCTCTTCTAGGTATCCGACTGCTCGGTGTGCCAACTTGGGCGATATCAAGTAAGTCAACAAGTAGGCATTGAAGAAAATGCCCTGGACCGAAAAAACCAGAGCTCGCTCATACCATTTGGGCTGCGACACCTCCATGAACGTCATGAGATGCATTCTCTCGTTCTCAGCTTCTTCTAGAAGAGCCTTGATCCAGCCCCCACTATGCTCAAATCGCCTCAGGGATCTCAAGTGCAAGAGAATCCCTGCGGCCACGCCGGGGATTGCAGCCACCGTCTCCAGCATCATCGCACGGCATCCATATCGCTTCTGTAACACGAACAAAATCGAAAATTAATGTATTACTGTACTGTACATTCAATATATGGCCGAGTTGACTTGGACGTTTCTCCGTCCGCATCTGCTACCTGAAAGAAGAGGTCGGTTGGGTATCTGAGAGCTTTGATAGTCCGGTAAGCAAGTTTGTCCACGAACGATCTTGGTTGGTGGTGCTTCTTTAGATCGATCGACAGGTTCGCATTATACGAGTCAATTGGCTATTCATTTCATTTCAAGAGAGTAAAAAATACAAAATAAAACGATATCGTCAGTGTTGAATAAGCCAAGATGCAAACTAGCCAGTTGGCAAGTAAAGAATAGCTCTACATTGCAACATAATAGTAGTAGACCGCGAGTGCTAAAGAAATAATATAGACACGTGGCAAGTGTTGTTTTGGGTCTCTTAGCTGCCACGTGACTCACCCGGTCACTGATGCATAATGCATGCCATTTCATCCACAAGTACCAAGGGATATACGTACCCTAAAACAGCTCCACTTCCAACTGGTACCGTCGTCCTTGGTCACCCTGGCTGGAGTAATGTTCCAGTAGCTAAAAATGGCTTTGTTTCCCGAACCATCAGCTGGGAAGCCGGTCGAACCGGTTTGCACCCCGGTCTTTTGTTCTTCTTCACCCAATGCCAAGGTGCTCCCATTCCGTATTCCCAACGCGGGGAACCTGAGACAGACCATATTTGTCCATGCTGCTGGCACACCTAAATCGCCGGCACGCAGGAAACTCGTAGCCCGGCCACGGCCAGTCCCCATCAAAAGTCCTTTAGCCGGTTCTTTGGCTGCGGTCGAGAAAACGCGGGCGCCCAGATGCTTCAGCTGCAGTAGGGATCTGATGGCCATTTTTGAGTTTCTCAAAATTGAGGACGGAAGAATGAGAAAGGAATGAAGAGAAGCAATTGAATCGGAATAATGTCGTAACGTTTCGGTGGCCAAGCTTTTGCTTATTGTATTTGTAATTTGTATGAGAGAGGTCGAGTACGAGCGGGTTTTTCTGTTGGTTAAGGCCATAATTAGGAGGGAGGGGTTTGTTTAAATAGAGGCATTTACGAGCAATAAAATAATGTGAACAGGGGGCTGGTTAGTGGTTTACTGGTTTATGCTTGCGTGGTGGAGGGAAAAGTTTTCTGGTCAACCTTTAAAGCAGTGGCATTCGATGACGTGGATGCTCTAACGAATGACAAGTGGTCAATAGTGTCCTCAGAACGTGCATATTCCTTAGATTCTTTCGGGATCTTGTCGCCATCAGCGGCTGCTAAACCGTTAAGATTTTTCAAAACGTGAACATTCCTTAGATTCTTTCAGGACTGATATGCTACATCCGAACTCACACCATGGGTCAGAGGGGTCGGGCCACAGTCATAGGCCCCTTGCATCTTTCTGTAGGGACCACAGAAGAGTTGGAATCACCTGCCAACAATAGGCGTTCCAACACTCTCCCAACAGATCTGATACTGCATATTTTACCATGATATTGGGACCTACTAAAAGGAGTTGTATGGTGTGAGATCATGTTGGGAGGGTATTGGGTAGGTGATCCGGATTGGCAACATAATCATTTCCGCAGAGCTGCGCGTGTGCATTGTTATCAAAATAGATAAAGACGCGGTTTATAAAAGCCTAAGAACAAAATTGCTGAAGACTTTGCTGAAGTTTTGACTGTTGCTCAAATCTACGCTGAAGTCTAATAATTGCAATTACTTCTTTTGAATATTCAGACAGTTGCAAATAAACCCCTTTATTTGGAATCCTTTAATAAGAGACACAAAAATGTCCAACACACCCATACATTACTGTTGAGTTTGATTTCTATAGAACAACAATACACACATTATGAATAACAAAAAAAAAGAAAATCTAAAAATTGTAGCTATAAAATTAGGAAATAAATCGATTGAAAAGGTTTGGATAGAATTGATATGAAGAGAAAATTTAGAAAATAAACATTTTAGTCACAAATAATTATATAGGCATTTTTTTTTACATTTTTTATATCTCTTGCTAGAGGATTTTAACAGAGGAATATACTTGCAACTGTATTAAAAAAGTTCTGGGAAAATAATTGTAATTACCAAACTTCGGGGGAAGTTTCAGTAATTTATCCTTAAAAATTAAAAAGGAAAAAAAGAATGACTAACGAAGAGACTTATTAAATAAAAATTTCGTGAGAAGCAAGGCGTAGAGAAGAGTGTGAACTGTGAAGATTATTTGTTTATGATGGAAATAGGAAGATGACAGATGAGCTGACGGACATGGGAAGCAGATGGTTTGAACTTTGGACAATGACTTAGTGGATTACCATTATAGCCTCAAAGAATCCCATAATGACACTTCATAGCTTTAAATGTATATAAGTGAGTATGGGAGTCTTTGGAGTTCAGATCTGCTGCCAACAATTTTCCAACAGCCATTATAGCTGTACATGGGAAACATCTCCCATGTATGAGATGGGAGATGTTCCCAATGTAAGGCTGCAGTGGCTAGTTGGGATAGTGTTGAGAGCGTTGTATTGGTAGTAGATCCTAGCCCAAGACCACAGTATCTTCATTAGATTTCCTCTGTATTGGGTATTACAAAAAATGATAATACTAGAGAATATCAATTTACTCGATTTCTTTTAATAAATTTACTCGATTACCTGATACCTTTTATGCAAGGTGCCAACCCACTGATTGATAAGGTCTCCTGTTTAATTGTAGCGGAGACATGAAATCGAATCCCACTGCACTTGGATTGGGGGGTTATAGGTTGTGTAGCCCATCCCGCAACATGGGCAAATGATTTAGGCCCATGGGAGAATGATGATTCAGCTCAGGGTCAGAATCAGAATTTATAAGTTCGAAGTATAATTAGAGTAGATGCTAGTTCGAAATTGATGTCAATTTACAGTGAATAGAGAGTGAATTATTGACATTTTGAATATTTATAATTCTGCAATATAAATAAAAAATCTACATTAACCTGTCCATACTTTTCCGAATAATTCATCCAGACTAGGGATCAATAGGAGCTCTTTCCCTCTGGCCTCTCTATTTATCCGGGTAGGTGTTAGTGTGCAATAACGCTGGAAACATAGTAAAAAGTAATAAAGAACGAGCCCTAAGTAATACTTATGCGCTCAATTTTAAAATACGGAACGTGTCGATATTTGAACCAAGTTTACACCCTTACCCATAAGGCCATAAATAAAAGACCAAAGAATGATAGAAAAAAAAAATACCTTGAATAGGTCACACATTCTCCTGTATACTTGTGTTAATGGCTAAATTATTATTTTATTTTATTTTTTGCTTGCAGTGATAATTAAGCTAAAATGGCAACAAGATTTGAAATTTTGATTTCGTATTCTTCATCTACAAGAGTAATTTGGTGCACGTTAACAGATTCTTAGCAAAGGAAAGACCCAAGAAAATACGGCTTGGACTTTGAAGTAATTTAAAAATAAATAATAGAACTGATTATAAGACTTTACACAGTTTGACCTGAAAACATGGCTCTTGACAAGATACAATGACAGGAAATGAGGATTTGTGTAGCCTACCCTGTGTTTGGCTTGCCTTCCTCTCTCTACCTTTTCCTTCAAACCAAACGTAAATTAGTATCAAGGGTGAGTTGAATTCGAGATCTCCTAAATCCTAACGCAACTAGACAAATTTAACTGTACTTGCGTTGGAAATTAAGGAAAGCAAAAGGGAAAAAAAAGTCAGAATCGTCACCAATAGATTACATAGGTTAACTTCTTCTCATCAATTATTAAATAAACTTGAATTCTCAGAATCCATGACAATTTTGCTCAATTTGGAAAGAGTTCAAATACAAATATGAACACTGCAAATACAAAATAATACAAAACACAAGGTTTTGTGTTCTACGTATTTGTATTTATACTCCTTCCAAACGGAGGCTTTGAAACACAAATTGTAATAGCAATTAACAACCGATGTCGTAAGAGAATACTGAATAAGGGGAGTGTTACATGCCTTTAGAGAATTCACCCCTAACAACTAGCTATTAGAGGGAGGGAATCCAAGCACATATATACCCCACAACAACATCCCATACTACTAATGTGAGACAAATGGATGGTAATAAGGAGCCGAAAAACAACAGTGCTAAGCTAGAAAGAAAACTAGAATGAGAAGATAAAATAAAGCACGAGAGGAATTGGAGTAAAAAGTAGGCAATAGAGTCTTTTTTTCTTTCTCATTGTTATCTTTGCCATAAACTGTTATCTTTCTCATTTTAGCAAATGGACTAAAGCTTACCCTAACCTTTGGAAAATCACATAGAGTACCCCTATGTTTTTTTTTTTGCAATTGATACTCAGTAGCATCTGAATAGAAAGCTGGAAAAGACTATTTTATCCTTCATTCTTCTTCAATTTTTCAAAATGGTAACAATTGGATCTACAAAAAATTCCTATAATCCTACAACTCTCTAAATAGGAAATGTTGGGTAATGCTTCACAATCCTAAAACTCTATTTTAGAAGGCTTAGGACTGTAGGTTTCATTCTAAACTACTCAATTAAAGAACAATATACACAGACTTAAGGCCCTGTTCACTTTTCAAAAAGTTACTTACCTAGGTAAATACACTTACCCATATAAATGTTTCCTAGGAAACACTTACTCAGGTAAGTGCATTTACCCATGTTCTTTCATTTCCCAAGTAAATAAGGCAATGATTGTTTTATCCATAAAATTCCATTATTAAAAGGGGTATTTTTGTCTAATTTAGGTGTTGGCAACTTTCCCCCCAAGTGAGAAAGTTATTTACCCACCTTGGAGATGGGTATCATTTACCTGAATAAGTGAGATACCTAGGAAAATAAAATTTCCCTAATACCAACATAAATTTGAAAGAACATAGGTTTCTTGGTCAATCTAAACCAAAATCCCATTGGCCAACTTTCCCACTCTCAAAATCCAATAAAAGAACACCCCCTAAAAGATATCTCATTGAACATTTTATCTTCCTATTTGAATGAAAGTTCAATGATAATAAAGTTGTAAAACGAATTGGTGGTGTTGTAGCTGAGCTTGTAAGAGGTATTAAAAGCCCCTACAATGAACATATAACCATTGAGGGCCCCAAAGAATTGTTGCATAGATTAGAATTTAGTCCCACACCTACCACTAGAAGGGACTGGCCATATTCAGAAGCTTTGACTTCAGTGAGCGTAATGGATATCTCAAGGGTGAAGGGATGAGAGATCTATCCCATGGACGCCCAAAGATTGCGGAATAAGGGGCGAATTTCAAAAAAAAAAATTCTCTCCCTTCAACTAGGAATCACATTCCCTATTTAGAAAATCATATTTTCAAGGATCATTCTTGAACCTTAAACTGAACCAGATCTGAACCAAAAGGAGTATGAGATAATTATACCTGATACGGAGAAGTAGTATCTCCCAATGGATGTGTTCACGCCCAAGGAAGGATCCAAAGACTGCTCCCACTAAAGATGGCGCAGTGCAGGATGGAGCAGAATCAGTAGTGTTCTTCTCCAAGAACTCTGTCCTTTGCAAGAATCAGCAGCATGGCACGTGAGCACAGCTTCCTATCAATTCTTTCTCAAAGAACTGATGTCAAGATCGAAT